AGTTAGGACTTAGAAGGTATAAAATAGTTCAAGGCGTCTTGCCTTGGAATTCTTCTAGTTTCGGAACTGCAGATCAGGAACTCATTTTCTGTGCGCGTTTGTGTCCTTAATTCTGTCACCGCGCAAGAGGAGCTACCGCTTGACGAACTTACCGCATTTTGTAGCTGAAGGCCTTCGGCCAAATACTCAGAGCTAGTGTGCTGGTTAGAGACTTGAGCAATTCGGACCTACACCTGCGGATGATTGTTGAATGCTAAGAGCTAGTGTGCTGGTTAGACACTTGAGTAATTTGGTCTTACACCTTCGGGTGACTATTCCTGTTTGTACTTCTTTGGGATTTTTCCCCTGAATGCCAAAGTGAAGTTTTGTCACTTCGAGTAAGCCTTGGTTATAAATTCAGGTTACGCTGTAGACAACGCCCTCGGGGGTAGCCTCTGCAGTATTTCTGGGAATGACTAGTGCCTGAGAATTCAAACTCGTTAATAGACTGTTGTGGTGTGACACGGGAGCTTTTCTCAGTTGAGTTTCTCAGTTCGGTTCCTGTATTCTCTGCGCGTTTTGTGAGTCGAGTGTGTTGTTCACCGCGTGTGAGTGACTTCGGTTTGACGAAGGTACCGCATCCGAAGTAGGAGGTCCAACCCGGGTGCTCTGCTCTCGCAGTCAGAGTTAACAATCCGAAGTTGAAGAATACTACCTGCAGACCCTCTGAATGTACTTGTGAGAAACTTCCCCCCTGAATCTTAAGTAGAGGTCCTAACCGACCTCTGAGTTGTGCTTTTCCAGTCTCAGATGTGTGTTGGGGTGAACTACGCTGCAATGTGCGTCCTCCGAGTGACCTCCGAGTTGAACACTTGCAGTAATTCTGGGAGTGACAGTCGCTTGAGAATTCAAACTATTCAATAGTCTGTTAAAACGTGTCACTTTGTACTCTGTGTGTTGCCTTTGTCCCTGTGGGTTTGACCTTTTTGCTGCTATATTGTAGTTTTAGCCTTTGGTGGGTTATTACAGTACACCACAGTGTTGCAATGTTTTTCATATTATTATTTCCAGATCCTAAAGGGATTTCTCCGATGCAGTGTGCTTTTGCAGATTATTTTTGGAAGGTGAATGCAACCCTTAATGTCCAAAAGCTACGATAAATTAGGTTGGGTCAAAAAATCTATTACACGAATTAGAACATATTCGTACAAGAATAAGTATTAGAAATTTTTTTACAAGAATATATTCGTACTAAAACATTTATTTAACCTTGCCGGTATAGTTCCATGTTGTAAATTGAAATTTAATAGATCTCATCAAACAAATTAGGTTTTGATGAGGTAACATCAAGATGATATTCCAACAAAAGAACCACCCGGAGCCAATCAATGATGCCGCAGGCAAACAATGTCCAGAGAGGCTTGTCGTCGGGTTTAATCTACTATTTGAGACACACTTGCTGCAACTTCAGGCTGTTGTTGCAAATACGAACTAGCGCTGTGCTTTGGATTTCTCTTCAGCTCGTCCAGTGCTGGCACCTCGAGAAGGTACTTGATTCCATAAACTGTGATGGCCGCATTTTCATCTTCATCTCCTTGAAGTCTGCGAAGCATATCCACGAAGTCCTCATTTTCCAGTTCCATGCTGGTCAATTATGTGGCCAAGGAATTCATAGACCTCCGTTCTTCAGATTCTTCACTTATGGATTACCCTCTCCATATGCACACATACTTCACGAAGTAGGTGTGAATGTGGGGACCAGACTTCGAAGTTCGAAATGCCAGCCTCCAGTTTCCAGAGAAAGATTTAGGGACGCGTGCGTGTAAACATTGAGATTCGCGGACGTGAATTGCATCCTGGAGCAATTATGAGGAGCAATTCATCGCGTCATGAATCTTAGTTCTTCAAAAGCATCCCTATTGGAGAATGTGTGATAGATGTGTCCAAGACCAGCTCATATGACCGACACTCGATGTACTAAGCCACTCGCACAAATGTATTACGATGTTGTTTGTGCGAGTGGTTTAGGATTTCGAGTGTCGGTCCTCAACCACTCACGCAAACGACAATGATATTTTTTCTCAGGTATTCTTTCGTGGCACGTCATGCATATTATCCGAATCTTAACGAAAGTGAAGGGGAAGAAAAAACAGAAAAGCCTTATGCCGAGGACCTCCGCATTACACAGATTCGCAAACCTTTGTTCTTCTTTTCAGCCTCATCTGACAACTTTTTACCTCACTCTCTATTATCTCGCTCTGACTTCCAACCAGCAAGTTGCCACTCTATTCTGGAACTGTTCTCCTGTGAGGTAATTTAGCGTATTGATTTTGTCGAGCCTCACGAGTTGAGACTTTTAAGACAGTATCAAACAGAATCTAGTCTGACTGACTTTTCAACGGGAGGCTATCAGTCGTCTTGAACTGACATACGTAGCCTTTGGGGGACTCACTAACAGGCTTTAGGCCTAGTCTTGCCACATCATTTTTTTTGCACCCATAATGTGCATATTCATCTTAGCATACATGTCTCATTGTGGAGCGTATGCTTTACAGTTGTTGCATTGGCAAATTCGAAACCCTCCAAGGTCCGAGGTCATTTTTATAGTAGTATCGCCTAGATAACAGGAATGTGAGATCATGCAGAATGTAGCGCATTGACTGGAAAGTCCGTAGGTACGGACTTTCCAGTTCAGATGGTCTTACCACCTCAGTCTTTCACGAGCTAGATCTGTAGAGTACAGAAAGTAGCTCGTGAAAGACTGAAGTGGTAAGGCCATGCATGCTATTGTTACAAAAGTCCATAATGACTTGCGGGAGTGAGCCGAGTTCAATCAGTGCATATCCTAGTATCAAAGCAGGTCGAAGCAAAGTTTTATAGCATAGTTTTCAATATAGCAAAGTTTTATACGAAGACTGTTGTGACCACTTTGGAGTAGCACATGTCAATCAGTGCATTTCCTAGTCGTGCAATCGCAGGTTGAAGTAGAAACACAACCAACGTCAGAAATGTCAGCATTTGAAAGATCACGAATATGGTACGATCGAAAGCATTCGCTCCTTATTGTGTGGAAGGCCTTTACTGAAATGATCACACCAATTCACTGTTTTCCATTTATATGGTGCTCGTGTTCCAACCTTTAGGGTCAACAACTTCTTCTTTTTTGTTATTTGTTTTCTTGTTTATTTATATCCTCCTCCAATTGGATTGTCAACAATGAAAAGAGGAGGGGAAGATGAATCCTAGGAAATGCACTGATTGACACGTGCTACTCCAAAGTGGTCACAACAGTCTTCGTATAAAACTTTGCTATAAAACTTTGCTTCGACCTGCTTTGATACTAGAAACAACTTAAAAGTAATTGAGAAGTAATTCAGTTGCAAAAAGTCTACGTGATCATCAATTGTCACATTCCGGAGACAGTATTTCAAGTGATTGAAATATTGGGTGGAATGTGACAGTGAATGCAAATATGACATTGATGTAACATTTCTGTGAGAAATTGCACTCGCATTGATGTAAAAATCTTTTTTAATTCATCTCAAATTGATTTCTAACGCCAACTGCTTGATAGCTTCTCTCCGCTTCCATGTTGTTGAAACAATTAGACGTGCAATTCAAAATGCTGATGCTACTTGCTCATGGGTGACTCCAGGTTGATTCAAAAAAATGAGAACCTTCATCTTCACGTCCAAGCGATTACGTTTAGATAGCGTTGAGAGAGTAAAAAAAAGCAAATAGCGCTCCAAACAAAGGCAAAGAATGCACCAAACAACAAACTGTTCGGGACTGGTGAAACCCTAAACGCTATGAAGCGTCTTGTGAATGACAACTCCCAACAGAGACGTGAAATCCTAATACCGGTATGTATTATTATCTTTTTGTTTTATGAAATCCGATGCAGTGAGCAGTTCAATTGAGATAGGCCATGTCAACTCTCTTGTACATTGGCAGTAATTTTTCATAATTTTCACAAGGATTACACTTGCATTAATATCTGATAAAACGATTTTCTAAGAAAATGACGTAAAATAATGGAAAAAAATCCATAATTGAAAATACATATAAAGAATAAATATTATGCACCAAAATGTCCTAGCGGATCCAACAATTCAAGAAGTACTGGTAATAATTAATATTCACAATCCAATGGATAAAATATTTTAAATGCAGATATAAATGGAATGAAGGTTGTTAGAGGTTGTTGCATGCACCACATGTCGTTGTATTTTGTGCTGTGGAACTCAAGTCCAAATGACGTATCGTTGGAAGGACTGCAAGTTGCAGGTCATACATTAAGTTATGGTAATGGTAATAAATCAAGCCCGAAAAAACCCTGAGGGTCAAAAGGCTAAAAAGAATACAAAATATCCAACGAGTCTAAACCAAGGGAGTATCCCCCTTATAACACATGTTAAAGGTGATACTTACGAGATTTAATTTGTTCTGTGCTTACTCGGTAGGGACAAAGGGCTGCCACTATCAAAAGGCTGCAGTTCCTTCAAGTGTTTGACATGCTTTGATCTCGCTAGAAGTCGTCCAACAATTTGAGCACTCGTCGTTCAATAAGCGAGTCTTGTCAAGAACCATCTTTCTCATGTCACGCACTTCTTCTCCTCCCAGCACTGATTATCTGTCGCATAAGGAGAAGCTGATTTGCTCCCACAATCCATCGAGTGCGAGACGGTCTCTTCACGTTAGTTCATCTACAACCATGCCCAGTTGACTCAGTTCCACTACATACGCAACAGGGACATCGTCTGAGGAATTTGTCGAAAGGTGAATCACATTCAGATGCGTGACATGAAAGTGCAAAATGCGACGATACCAGAATATTCTTATCCTCATTAATCCCACCTGCATTAAATAGTCTAGAACAAAAATGTCTTAAGTGTGGTTTTGTCTGTGAGTTTGACTTTAGACGCGGTCTTCAAGATACTATTCCAAGCAGAGCATGTCGAGTAGAAGTAGGGTGATTCAGGACAGAGTATAAGAAGAATGGTCGAGGGGACTGCTATTGGGCTCTATTCTGATCCATCCAAAAAGTCGAATTCGGCTCCTAATCCTCATTAATACAGAAGAAAAGGTCGGGAATTTCTGCGTGGTAGCACCAAGCTGGTTCACCCTCCATTTCACAATGGCGCAAGACACAACTTCTTCTCATCCTTCTACCAAAATGGTGGAGTACAAGGGTCTCGGCAATGACAGGAGGAGATGGAGAGTATAGCTATGCCCAAAATTCAAAATGGCAAGGACTAATGGTCACCAGGGTCCTGCCCAAGTTATTCGAAGATATATAGTCCATGATTTTGACTGATCGTGATCAGGTTGTTAGAATCGTAGATTTGGGTTGCTCGTCCGGCCCGAACACCATACGTAACGTGGAAGCAGTGATCGAGCAGGTACGGGCGAGATACAGGGAAGCAGAGGTGGATACTAGTTCTGGCCCAGAGATACAAGTCTACTTCCAGGACTTACCGAACAACGATTTCAACACGCTGATCAAATACCAATATTCACAACCTCGATCTGATGAGGAGAAGATCCAGAAATATATGTCAGCAGCCGTTCCTGGTTCCTTCTATGATCGCCTCTTTCCCAAGTCCACCATCAACATTGCTCTCTCGACCTTCGCTCTTCACTGGCTCTCTGAGGTACTCGTGAACGCTTCCTGGTGTCAGTCCAGTAAAGTAGATTACTCATACAACAGCTGATCACGTCTCATTTGACCAATTGCACTTTATTCTTCATAAAATGAACTTGTAACCTGTGGAACTTTAGTACGGCTAGCTATCACACTTGCTTCAAGTCCTCTAAAATTGCTTAATATCGCAATCCATTCTCATTCACTCCTACCATTGAAGCGGCAGCGTGTGCTGGAAAGGATCAGGCAGTTAAAATAAAAGGAGTAGATTGATAACAATTTCTCATTTGGAAGTATCTACAGCTCTAGCGACAGTAACTGGAGTTGAATCTGAGAAGCTAAGACAAATATCTGGAGTTCACGAGCAACTAGTTTAATGGTATTTTGGTTATTTCAATGATTTTCCGTTGCTTATGGAAAATTCTCAGATTCCGGCCGCAGTTCGAGATAAGGCGTCTCCAGCTTACAACGGTGGTAACACTCAAATAGATCGATCAAGCTTGGCTACGAAGGAAGCTTATGCAGAGCAGGCAAAGAAAGATCTCGACAGCTTCCTTGCCGCCAGGGCTCATGAAATTGGGCCCGGAGGATTACTCTTCCTGGTGTTCCTGACACGCCCCGACGAACAATCCGGAGCGATTTTACTAGAAGATGGTGAAGAGGATGTTTGGGATTCAATGGTTCTTGAGGTAAAATGCATGACAAACTCTAGACAGATTTGTCCACACCTGCTTGTTTACTTTGACCACTAGCTGTTTCTTGTAGCATTTTTCCCCGAAGTGGATGTGCTGCAACTTTTTATTCTCTAATTATCAGTTTTCACAATTCTTCTGACTGCTGCTGGTTGCCATTGACAGGGTGTGGTCCCTGTAGAATTGAGGGATGACTTCAACACTCCAATTTACTATCGTGACATGGACGAGATAAATACGCAGTTGGAAAGTTACGGCTCTGTCTTTGAAGTCCAAAAACGGGATGTTCACATGTTATCCTTGAAAAACTTCTTGAGCTCATTTCCGGATCCTAGAGACGCGGCTCGAGTAGGAGTTAATGCGCATCGAGCAGTTTTTATCGAAGCAATGGACGCCTACATTGGAGAGTCAGCGTCAAGGATCTACTTCCAAAAGTGCGAAGAAGTCCTTGGAAAACTCTATGCACGAAAGAGAGACATTTGTGAACGAGACGGATCTGACCCGGCACTCGCGCACCTCGCAGTCCTGAGTTTGCGTAGAAAATAGATGTTGCATTGCTGAAATATTTGTTTTGTACAGCTCTACGCCGTCCGACACGTCTATAGACTCTCTACGTCGCTCAAGTGGTAGATGAAACCGTACCAGGACAGTTATCTCTCGTGGATTTTGCTAGGCGCCGTTCGGAGTGAAATGACCTCATCACCGGTCGATGTGTAGAGATAGTACCCAATTGCGCACAATCGCGGCTGTGCAGGGATGAAATAGTCCCGTGTAACACCGAACATGTCCTGACTGAATATGCTAAAACCATCAAAACAATATCCGCAATTCGTCAAGCTGCACAACGACTTGACTTATGTCTCCCAACTCCTTGGATCGAATAATGGATAGAATATCTCCATACAAGTATAGAACTTGTTGCATTTTACTTCAATCTTTTTATACACAAGAATTATCTCATGTACATAAGGTATTTAACCTATGTGCATAAGATTGTCCCAGTTAAATATAGTTAGAATTTGAAGTTATTCTTTAATCGGACTTAATTTTAAATTTTTTCAACTAATATAATGTTGATTGCAATCATTATGAAAATATTGGATGCTTAAATTAATATTGTGTATATACATACATAATTAATTAAAATTTTTATGAGATAAGTTTTTTTCCTTATAATATATAATAGATAGTTTTTTTTGAAGACAATAAATTTAATAAAAAAATAAATTTCATATTTATTACTAATTATGTAATTATATTTAGTTAATTAGAACTAAAAAAATTTATTTAAAATAAAATTATAATGATCTTAAATTACACTAGTCATGATTACTATATCAACAATCCATATATTTGTTAAATAATGATTGTATGTGTTAGTTGAGAAGTGAAGTCAGCATTCCATGTATTTATTAATGTTATCTACTATATCATCCGTCTACTTGGAGTGAAAAAGATGCTATTTTAATTCCGTCTACTTGTTGATAAGAATTATAGAAGGTATATTTAATAATTGTTTGTAATTCTCATCTTAAGAGTTGTGTTTTTATTTTCGAATGAGTTTAACTATTGAGCTTTACTGGTGCTGAAAATATATAGATTTACATCAAAACAATTTTAACCTAGTCAATTCATTCAAATACAAGTTAAAGTGCAATTGTGTGTTGTACATAGCCGAAAGTGTAATTTGAAACATTTAAATAGAAGATTTTCTTAAAACACGAGTAAAATTTAAACCAAAGAGAAGTCACACAAGAAGTACCAATCGATGATGAACAAGTTGGGAGCTTTGATCAAACGTGGAAACATAGAGTATACCTTTGCAAGGACTAAGCAAGCCTTAATGCCAAATATCTTGTGAATTAATTTGTAAAAACGTAAATGTATCGATAAATTAATTTCTTATTCATAATCAATCCAATTTTTTTAAATATCATAACATTAAAAACATACATTGTTATTCCAATTTCATTTCAAATTTTGTGAATTTTTTTTTTAATTATTCAATCTGTTAAATGTCACTCAACTTAGCTATGTAAATGCAGCCAATGAATCTTACATGAAGCAACTCAACATATACTAGTATATATGCAAACTATTTCATTTGTAGGAAAATGAACTTTTTTATTTACTTAAAAAATTTGTAATTTTATTCAATTATTTAATTTTATTCATGGAAAAAAATCAACATTAGATAATGATGATACTGATAATGTTTGTAGTTCAATTAAATATGTTTGATGCACCACACCATAATTCTTGCGTCGTTATTGAAACTAGCTCTTTGGATTCTCTGAATATTATTGACTTTATTTGCCCACATATCAACTTTGTCCACTGCGTAGTATATATTAGGGTCAAATAGTCCTTGACTATTGGCGTGTATGGGGATCATTGAGATGATTTTTCCACATAGCAACTTTGTCCAGTGTGGATTATAGATTTAGATTAGATACTCTTTGCTTCTATTTGTGTGCATCGTAGAGTGAATCTTTCATTGGCTTTCAACTCCAAGTATGTATCTTTATTATGACGCTCACTTTGAATTCTAAGGCCATCAAAATTAATTGTTAAATTTCCATTTTTGTCTTTCTTTCCTCACTTTTAAGTAAAGTATTCACGTATGGTATTTTACTACATCGTCAATTTTGATTTTCACTTGAATGTTGCTATTGATAGCTAAAGTATTCATGCTAGAATAAAACAAGTTGATTCGTGTGATACCTAACGGGTTGCATCTAGTCAATTGATTCATCAATGACTACTAAATGCCCCACACTGAAATCGAAGTCTTATGTATTTGAGATTCTTTGTCGTGGAGCAGGAAGGAAAGTGGAGAAGTTATATACAAGTGGAATGGCAAGATTAGAATGCAGCGTGAAGTTTTTGCTCACATCCTAGTTTTGTGGGAACTCATGATCCGACATGATCAATTCTTCCTATTATGTAATGACCTACTGCGATCTCTTCATCAACAACTTCACATATGCACTATTCAAAAATTTTCAGCTATTTACAATCATTTTCCGTTATAAAACTTGAAGTTCATCCATATGAAGAATCTCTTTCACCTAGTCAGCTCATTGAAGACATTGCGAAGCATGGAATAATCAGATTTGAAAAATTTAATTATTGTTGATGCTTTCAATGATCTTGTGGTGGATTTACAAAACCTTGGTGAAGAGTTAAGTGACGAGAGGAAGTCTCTTCACCTCTTGATTTCACTAACTCCTTCATACAAGAATCTATCTCAAGTACTTCTACATTAAGATAAGAAGATCATCACCTACAATGAAGTGGTTAGTGCGTTGAAGACAGATGAGTTTCAACAAAAGATGATGCATAAGTCTCTATCCTCTATATCGTCCGGAATGGCGCTAAATGTGAACCGGGGGTAGTTCACAGAAGCGGTCGCCGGGTGGAGACAAGAAAAAATTCAGATCAAAGTTTCTAGGAAAGTCTCAAGACAAGAAGACCTTGCTATGTTAGAAGTGTGGCAAGGCTAGCCACATGAAGAAGTATTGTCGTGGAAAGGCAAGTGATTCATCCTCTGCAAATGCAAAGGTTGCAAGCACTGAACTTGAGGATAATTTGCTTAATGATGATTATGCTTTATGATGCCAGAAGTATGCCCTCGGCACATTATTTGAAAGAAAAGATGATGAATGGATTCTTGATAGTGCTTGTTCATACCATATATGTCACAATAGAGAGTATTTTAGTTTTTACCTTGCATTGAACGATATACACTCTTGATGGGGAATGATCATCCTTGTTGAGTCGTCGGTATTGGATCTGTGAGTATTATGATGTTTGATGGAGTAGTTTGCACATTGAAAAATGTGAAATAAATGAGATGAAAAAGAACTTGATTTCTCTTGTTGTATTGGACACTAATGATCATTGATGGTTGGTAGCTGATGGTGTACTTCAAGTCAAAGCTAGAGATAAAGCTGTTTTGAAAGTCAACAAACATAGGAATCTTTATGTGTTAGAGAGTAATACTGTGTGCAGAGAAGTCAATGTCACTAGATCTCAACCTGAGATGGCTCAAATTTGGCATTCTAGGATGGACCATATGAGTGACAGGTATTTGACTTTGCTTCACAAAAAGGATATGTTATCCGGTTTGGGTAAGATTGATTTAGATTTTTGTGAGCATTGTGTTATGAGAAAGCACCATAGAAAGCTTTTTGGTGTTGGAACTCATAGCTTCAAGGTGATTCTTGAGTATGTACATGTTGATGTGTGGGATACCTCTCCGATAGCTTCACTATTTGACAAGTGGTACTATATAGTTTTCATTGATGATTATTCAAGATTTGTTTGGGTTTTATTTTCTCAAGGAAAAGTATGAAGTCTTTGCAACTTTCAAAAGTTGGAGAGTCCAAGTTGAGACTCAGACGATGCACAAGGTGAAAGCCTTGAATGTGCGGGTGAGATACTTGCATTTGGACAATGACGGGGAGTATACCTTCAAGTAATTTGGAGATTACTGCAAAGCAGAGGGCATTACTTGCCATCTCACCGCAGTTTATACTCAGCAATAGACTGCTGTTTGTGAGCGGCTCAATTCCACAGTGTTGGAAAAGGTGTGAAGTATGATGATCCAATTGGATTTACAATATAAACTTTGGGCTGAAAATGTGAATACCGCAGTGAACTTGGGAAATCTTTCTCCTTCAAGTGCAATTGATTTTTCAACTTCGTTTGAATTGAGGCACAAGCGGATTGCTGATTACGGTCGATTAAGGATATTTGGTTGCATGGCTTAACCTTTTATACATAAGGAGCATATGACCAAGTTGGATACTATTTCCAAGAAATGCCGCTTTCTTCGTTATGCAAATCATCATTATCATCAGATCGAGTGAGTAGAGCTACTACGAGGTATGGTTCATGGACCAATTCATTTCATCTTCACGACCGAGAGCTTGAAGATAGAGATGATGATGGTAATGCGTTGATCTTGAAGGAAAGAGTATCTTCTTCATATCGTGAGGCTCAAGCTTCTACTGATAAGCTTGAGTGGGATGTTGCAATGGAGCGAGAGATGCAATCTCTCAATCACAACAAAACTTGGAAGCTTGACTAGCTTCCAAGCTAGTCAAGCTTCCACCTGGACAACAAGCGGGGGACTCTAAGTGGATTTACAAGTTGAAAGATAGTCCAATTGATAGTGTGAGGAAAATTGTCAAGGCCAAGGGATTCACACAAGAAAAAGGCGTGGACTATAATGAGGTATACTCAGCAATCGCAAAGTATGCCACAATCTGAATGCTTCCAGAAACTGGACCTTGTCGGTGTAGGACTCGCTCGGAGAGTCAAAAAAATCATCAATCAGAATGTTGAGCATGGCGAGCTTTGCCCACACTGTTCTGGTGCCGGAAGAATACACACCGCCACATAAAAGCAGTAGACCATCTGCTTCTCTCAAGATCTTATGCTGTTGAAGCCTCGTTCTTCATTCCATCTATAGAGTGCAAGATTAAGCCATGCATGTGGTGTGAAATTTCAGAGGAGACGGACTTTACAGTTCAGCACCCAAGCACGCAGAGCGAGAGTTTGAGGAGAGAAAGAATGAGTGACATGAAGCAGAATTAGTCACAGAGTTCGCGTAACATCGCCATGTTTCGTCATACCTTAGCAGAACCTGCAACTCTTCTTGATGTTTTGATTGGCACAAGTTGAAATCCGCTTTGGCTAATTTCAGAAAGACGCTGTTGGTAAAGCTGTGCATTCTGGCAATCGACACGCATGATGAACATGTCATGATTTTATATACAACAGTGCTTTGGTGGATTATATCACGAACTGACAGTTTTACACCAGCTCGGAATGAAAATGCTGGCTACATGGGAGTTATCCATGTTAAACTTCTGTGGCATTCCCAGAGCACCCGAATCCCTCGACAACAACTGGAATGACTATGATACGAACCTGTACAAGACCTTGGAAATCCATACATGCTGTGGTCCGTATTGGTCGAGCTACGATCTG